TGTCAGATGTGCGTATTAAGTTGAAGTGCGTGAATTTCATGCACACAAACATCGTAATATTTTGCATACAAATTTTCAGATGTACGTAATCGGTTAAAATGCATGAGTATCATGCATAAAAACACTGCAATATATTGCACACCTACATGCTCTTACATGTCAAGGTTAAAATAAAAATATAACATGCAGAAAATTTCCTCAAGAAAGTTCGATTCTAGCTTCTAAGTGAAAAAAACACTGGCGTAATCTGTCCGATTATTTTTGCTAGCTTCAATACATATGATGGTTGCGTTGTCCCGGGGCTGAACATTTTACATCTGCCGCTCGTAATGCGCTGTTGGGGTCCGGGTTTTAGTCAGTGCCGCAGTCGTATCTTGTCGGGTCTCGCTAAGTCGCTTGTTGGCAGTCGTCATAAGTTTATTGTGGAAGAGTCCCATTAGTTGACAGTCGTTGAAAAAGATAAATGACCTATTATTTTAGCTTGAAAGTCGTTGTAAAGTAAAAAAATTGGTCGATAACTTCAGCGAAAGTCGTTGAAATTCCAACGACTATTGCGACTGTATGAGACCTGGGGTCTTGGCCATCTATTGGGAAAATATTGAGATCCAAAGAGAGACAATGCACGCTACCCAGTGAGATCATCGAAAAATGTGTCAAATTTGACAGTTGACCTTGCTCTACCAAATAGTGAATAACTGTTAGTAAATTGTATAGGAAGAATATTATGGTTTGAGACTTTTAAATACATCTGTGAATATATTAGGAATCCTTTAAGTATACTTGTATTCACTGATTTCAAGTGGTAAATAAATTGATAGATGATTAAGTTGAGAAATGGATTTAGACACATGAAAACTAATTCCGTCACAACTTGAATTGGACACACACAGATCGTTCAAAGCTGTGTACAAAAATTAAAATTTGCTTAATTAAAAGCTTAATAGTTGTTAATTAAAAGCGTACTGTAATTAAGTAATGTTCAATATTCATTAGTGTTCTAATTCAAAGCCGTGTTGTATTCCAATACAGCTCACACAGCAAATGGAATTCGAACACGTGGATGACGGCATTACGTATCAGTAGAATTTGAAGCACGGACGGAATACGCCTCACCACGTGCCAACTATTGCCACACACAGTGACGGTCCTGACGGAATATAGGGATTTGGTAGGTTTCCGTTCTAAAGGCTTTTAAATAAATATGGCAACATTTTGTGACGTTTCGTTGTTGCTGACACCGTGACACGTAGTGCGGTGTTTTGAGAGTCGCATAAAGCAAACAGAACTTGAGTAACGCATATGGTTATTTTTTTATAGTTTTTCATTTCTTGATGCGTTTTTAATGTGACGGAATATACCGCGTTTACCCTAATATTGAAATTTTATTGAAAAAAATATGTCTAACAGTCTAAGCAAAAGCTCTAAGCTTGAGTTGAAGGAACACTTGCCTTGAGGCTGAGGCCCCTGAGCAGCCTGAGCCCTTGTCTAATTGTCATGGCATTTGTCTATTTTAAATACCGATCATTCAATGCCAATCAATAGATTTGTGCAAATATTATAATAATTTTAATATAATAACCATGCACCTTAAATTGCCTAAAATAAAATGTTCAAAAATTATCAATTTAGATTTATTCTGGTGTTTGGCCAATGACCAGGCTGCAGAGAATGTTTTTTAGCTCAAGACATTGGTGTCTTTTGAAGATAATCGGCCACCTTGACCTTACGGCTTACATGGACATCCCGGTCAGTGGTTGCCATGGTCTGGAAGGTGCAGCATGTGTGCCTGTTTATTTTGGGATGTATGCCAGGAAAGGAAGTTGCCAGGATCCTTGCTAAAAACTGAAAGTGCAACTTAGACCAATTCCTGATGATTGACCCAAATGCTTGCTCTAAAATGCTTGCCATTTTGCCAATTTGTGATAAATGGCACTGAGGCACGCTCTTTGCAATTGATTTGGATGATGCTCAATGATCGACCCAGACGCAGGCTGGCATGTGCTTTCCAATTGATGTGGCTGATGGCCGATGCCCGATGATCAACACATGCCCTCTAGTTCTGCTACATTCAATTTGACTGATGCCTGATGATCAACACAAACTCACACTTTACAATGGATTTGGCCAATGCCTGATGATTGTCACTGATGCACATGCTTTACAATCAATGTGGCTGATGCCTGATGATTGACACGAACAAACATGCTTTATGATTGATTTGGCCAATGCCTGATGATCAACACTGATGCATGCTCCTTGCAATCAATGTGGCTAATGCTCAACACTGATGCATGCTCTTTGCAATTGATGCAGCTGATCCTCAATTATTGACACAGACACATGCAATTTACGGTCATTTTGGCTGATGATCGATGATCAATACTGATGCTTGCACTTTACGATCAATGTAGTCAATGCCTGATGATAAACATGGATTGACTCAACTCCAATCAGACTGTTTTCCAGTCCTTTTTAATCAAAGAACAAACATTCCCCGTTTTGAGACATGATGGAGAGGCAATTGTCTACAAAACATTGTGGTAAACCAGCATTTTTTTAGAATTAGTTCATTTTTAAGTTCCTCATCAACTCAATATTTTAATCAATTACTCATGTATGATAATTCTGGTATAATTCTAGTCTACTTGTGTGACTCAAAAATGAACTTGAGGACCTTGAGTACAAAAACTTTTGTCTCAGGAAATAGGTAGTGCAATTCATGTATGTAAATGAATATTTTATTTCTTGCTGAAATTCATTATTTTAGATACCGTAATATGATAAAACTCCTATTCATTTTTATTTTATAAAACTATAATAAATTCCCCATTTAGGTATGTATTATTACTAAATTATTTATCAATATTGTTTTCACTTCTTCAGTTGCTGATTGTTTTTTCATATAATAAAGCTATAGTTGAGCAAAGCTTGAGTCAATAAAAATGATGAGAGAGTAGAGACACTATAGAAAGCAATATTATTCTGGTACAATACATCTACTTGTAGCCTTACTGGCATCAGACATGCAGGCCCTGCCCAAGCCTGGTGCTGATGAGCTGGGCTATCTGCAGCTCACCTCTGATGGAGCAGTACTTGCTGTATGTATATTTTTCACCGTTTGTAATACAGAAATTTCATGAAAACTATGCCAGTATTTGGAAAGTAATTAATTTTATCATGTTTGTATAAATGTTTTTATCTCTAAACTTCTGTTGAAGAAATTCTTTGTGAGACTTCACTCTCACCTAACTGTTGTGTATCTATTTCAACTTCAATGAAACTTGATATTTTAAAACTCTGGATGAGCAAATATTATTTATTGAATGCAATTCTCATTTTCAAACTACTTCCAGTCACGGGGCACCCTACAGAATGATGAGACTACTGCCAAAGCTCTGGCTCAGCTCGTTGCTGTAGCCTGCAGGAGTAAAGTCTTTCCACGACACATGCAACAGCAGCAACTGTGCAAGATAACAGGTGAGGGGTTTTGAGGTTTTTGTCCCTATTAGGTAATTTGTACATAATTTTACACATTATTTAATTAGTGGTATTACAATATCATAGATGATAACAGCTGCTTAGCATAATGGTTTCCTTTGTTGCTCACATTTTGATGCTGTTGTTGTTGCAGTGTGTTTTAGCATCAATGATACAAATGGTGTCCAGCTAGCAATATTACAATTCTCTTGTTGCACATTTTACATAGCATATACCATATGTTAAATTTGTTGTTAACATTATGATGCCTTGCTTATGCAATTGTAAACAAGCAACACAGCTGCATTCACTGTAAATCAAGGTCTGCTGAGATTGTTGTTGTATAAAAGCAACACTGCTGCATTCCATGTAAACAATATCACTAGGAAGTTGCTAAGAAGCATTTAAAGTAATGAAAATGCCTCAAAAATAAAGATATTTTTGTATGGAATGTCATTTTTATCACTTCTATCTTCCCAAGATATGCATCTATATATAATTAATTGATAACTAAATTTACATGGTTATGAATAAAACTTTAATAGACCAATAAAAAACCTATCCACTCACAACTTGAAGTGGATAGTAAATATAAGAATTGTTCTGACAAGGTTTCTAATGTAAAAAATGCAAGGATTCCAAAATCCTTGATTGGGCAGCCTGAAGTGGAACACCAATTTTTTTATTTCAATTGCTTTCTGATGGATGCTTGAGGGATGGAATTAACTGTACTATGTGTATGAGCACCGTTGCAACAAAGTTTCCTAACAATATTACTATTTGTATTGTTTCACTTGTGTACAAGCATCTCTGCAAAATTATTTAGTAACAATATTACAATTCTGTTTTCATTTCAGTTGTGAACAAGCATATCTGCAAAATTATTTAGTAACAATATTACAATTCTGTTTTTGTTTCAGTTGTGTACAAGCATCTCTGCAAAGTTATTTATTAACAATATTACAATTCTGTTTTCATTTCAGTTGTGAACAAGCATATCTGCAAAGTTATTTATTAACAATATTACAATTCTGTTTTTGTTTCAGTTGTGTGCAAGCATATCTGCAAAGTTATTTATTAAGAATAATACTATTCTGTTTTTGTTTCAGTTGTGTATGAGCACCACTACTATACAGTTTGTCTTGCCAATAAGCGTCTACATATTGTCAAGAAGAACATCAAGGCTTCTGGTGATGCATCTTCTCCCAACTGATCCACCTTCTCCCAACTGATCCACCTTCTCCATACTGATCCATGTTTGTTGTGGCATCAACTAATGTAAAATTTTTAGTTGCTCTTATTCAGACCAATATCTTGCGCAAAACATTTTACTTCACATAAATGGTTCTGCTTATGATTAGTCGTTGAACTAATTAATATTGAATGGTTCAACTGATGGTAAATGGTATTTTTGATGTTGAATGTTCAATCAAAGGAAAATAGTTTAACTGGAGATTATTGGTTCATATTGTCTTAAATGATTAACCCGCCGATAAATGGTTAATGTAGTTTTGAACTGTTCAACCGATGTTAAATGGTTCTACAGACTTCAAATGATTCATATGATGTTGAATAAATCAATTGACGGTAAATGAAGCTTCTGACGTAAAATGGTTTAAGCAATGGTAGATGGTTTGCCTGATGTCAAATGCTTCAGCTGATGGTGAGTAATTTGATTGTGATTAAGTGGCGATAAGTGGTTTAATTAATTGAGATGATGCCCACCGAGTTATTGTTCACTGGAAATTGTACATAAGCGCGTTTTTTTATCATACATACAAATTGAAGTAAACGATTAGGTCATTCTTATCAAGAGATATTTTTAATGATGCTAATAAATGCTTGGCTTATTGTAGCTAGGAATTTCAACTAGCCTTAAGTAGTGTTATGGGGCTCATCTAAATGTGTATTTAGGTAACTACTTATGTTAGCAAATGTGTCATTTTTTTCATTGCTGCTTTACATTTTATTTTGTCGATATCTGAACCGATTAATTATTAGGCTAGAGATTTGCCATCTTATTCTAGTTGAACTTTTTTGTCTGCATAAACTATGCGGTTATGCAGACATTTGTTTTATGTTCAGTTGCCTACGCTTAATAAAATGTTATTTTCGTAAATACTGTTGCTTTCCTAGGTGCTGTGGTGAGAATAAGAGTTCTTATAACATTTTGTCTATTCATTTCGTGTTTGGTGTGAATAGAATGCCCATTCTTACTTGAAGTTGTTTATCGTCATCGTTTGTACAGTGATTACAATATAGATTTTATTATTATTATTATTATTGATACCCTCCATTATTATTATCTCATTTGTCGTCTTAGTGACTGATGTTTTGAATTTTTTAGAGAGTGTTAATCTCTTCCTTCTAAAGTAGGTATTTAACATCACAGCGATGAGTCGACCTAAAGGGATTATAAAAATGGCCAGTTCGCGATTTCTATGAGCTGAAGCCATTCCTCCGCTCGAATTCCCGGTGTATTTAACGTGAGATTCAGGCCCTCAAACTTTTACTAAGAAATAATGGTTCGTTATCATGATCGTAATGAATATTTCATCATTTATGAACGAATATGACTTGGCAGCACATCGCCGCCCACTCCCAGCAAGCTGAAAGCAGGCTTGTGAAAAGGCCTTCTGCAGAAGAACTTTTCTTGAATTTTGCTGCTGCAAGATTCGATGTCATTATCAATAGACGTAATTAACTTATAATGCAAGGGCTCTCGGAATTTTGCTCCTGTATCTGCCAATATTGCGTTACTCTTGACCTCAAACTAGTGTTGTACGGTGGCAGTGACCACTTCCATTTCGTAACATAGTTCCAAAATGTATTTGCTGGCTGTGCTTCTCCGCCAATGAAAGTTGCCCCAGGCACTCTTACGCGAGAATCTCCTTAACGCCTTCATTAATGAAACCTCACCTTTGTCAAGCAGCTTATTCTGGATGTTTCGCAAAGAATCCTTGATGCTGCTGGGACTTGCATATTGTTTGTGACGCCGCCACCTTACACGCATTCTTGATGGCGGACAAGTGAGAACTCGTCAGAAAGAGACGGCGGCCAAGAAGTTAGCCGCCATCGCGTCTTTTCCACAAGCAAACGACATAAATGGTAAGAGAAAAGATGCTAAGAAGATCGCCGAAGTTTTATCACTAACGATAGGTACGGCTTGAGAAGTTCGAGTCGAGCGCAATCGCTAGATACCTAGTGGGCTTAGCAGGAGCTTGCAAGGACCTGCGTGGCTTCATTGGCAGCTTCTTAAACGTGGCAATAGCCTTACGTGTGTGTTGAAGCAGCTCCTAAACTTCTAAAGGTCAAGCTAAAAGTATGATTTAGCGAACCGTAGGAGCGTGTTGTAGTTGGTGGGGTCAGAAGTAAAAAGGGAGAAGAATAGGTATGAGGCCAAAGCGAACTTGCGTCGTGGCGCACTAGCCATGGTCAGAACTTAAATAGTTCAAAAATGCATGTAAGATAACCGTGCGAAAAAAGGAAGGTAGAATTTTTACAGCGGAACCTACATACGTATATACTAGTATATATTGAGTTATAGGCCTTTCTTGTCCGCGGACTTGGCCGTTATTTAGATCATCTGGCATCTCTGCTTGTATCGCTCAAGTGACTATTGCAAAAACCACGTCAGCGTATTCCATGATTACGTGATCTTTCATGTTACCGGTTTCAGTGGCAACCTGATTATTAATTGACAAGTTGATCAATATAAGATCTATAAATCAATAGTAGAAAACCTGAGTGGTTTTGGGTTTGTTTATGATTGTCCGAATAACGTATTAATATGGATTGATTGGCCAAGGAAGAATAATAACGAGTCGTGCATCTTAGCGCAAATATTAGAGATAGGTTTACAGGATACACTGAATAGAAGTTACAGGATCAGTAGATGGAGTATTACGACTGCGAGACGGTAGAGTATCGGAGTCTATAAAGACGTGAGAGCGTCTAGTCTAGAGTTAGCTGCGAATCACAGGTGACGTAAGAGAGACTAATGACATCATGGGTGATGACGTTCTGACACGTACCCCATTGACCTCCTGGACAAACACGCTGCCTGTCTCACGGCCGTGCCTCAAGAAATTCATCGTACGGGAATATCTTCCAAACTACCAAACCGATTTCAATGAAATTTGGTCTTTAGATTCCTGACCAGCTAAAGGTGATGTCTAGCCCGTGTGAATTTTCGCGATTTCGTCCGCGTTCTCGATTTATACGGTAATACGGGCAAAAATACGCTTCGTACATGGAATTTCTTCCACACTACTGAACCGATTCCAATGGAACTTGATATATAGATTCCTAACCACTTAAGGGTGATGTCTAGCCCGTGTGAATTTTCGCGATTTCGCCCGCGTTCTCGATTTATACGGTAATACGGGCAAAAATACGCATCGTACATGGAATTTCTTCCACACTGCTGAACCGATTTCAATGAAACTTGATAAGTAGATTCCTGACCACCTAAAGGTGATATCAAGCCCGTGTGAATTTTCGCGATTTCGCCCGCGTTCTCAATTTATACGGTAATACGGGCAAAAATACGCATCGTACATGGAATTTCTTCCATACTACTGAACCGATTTCAATGGAACTTGATATATATATTCCTAACCACCTAAAGGTGATGTCTAGCCCGTCTGAATTTTCGCGATTTCGCCCGCGATCTCGATTTATACGGTAATACAATAAACAATATAACAATAAATATTTAGAGATTTCCAATATTTTTTGCCATTGTAGCGGCTAATGTAGCGGCGCTACATTTTACTGTAGCGGCAGCGGTAGCGCCCGCTACAATCTACTGGGTGTAGCGGTAGCGGTGGCGCCCGCTACATTTAGAGCATGTAGCGGTAGCGACGCTACATTTCAAAGTAGCGCTGCCCAGCTCTGCTTACAACTTACGTTGATTAACTTGACACAAGACTCTCAGGGTCAGCGGTATATATACCACTACGTTTAGCGAGAAGAAGTCGAAAGGAGTAACTCTTTGTTACTATATTATGACTAACATCGCTGAAGCAAGCACAAATGCTAAACCACGTTTAAAGAGTATGACACACAACTCATCTCCTACCGTTGGAACAAGACACCTCTTTATATTCCAATAACATGGCGAAATGTTGAAATTCTAAGTAACATGATTAATTATCTAATAAATAAATATACTCAGAGGTGGGCAGTAGAGCGCTACATGTAGTGGTCGCTACATTTTCAGTAGCGGTAGCGGCGCTACATTTAAGCAATTGTAGCGGTAGCGGTAGCGCCCGCTACATTTAGAGCATGTAGTGGTAGCGGTAGCGGCTGCTACATTTCAAAGTAGCGCTGACCACCTCTGAATATACTGTACGCTTTAGTACACATTCGAACATTCATGTTGGAATTATTAGTACACATAGCTATTAACAATTAATAGCTCAAGAATTTCAAATACCATTAAAGGATTTGTACAGCTTCATACTGCGAAGGCAAATCATTTACATTGATACAATCATTCTAAAATATAGTACAATTCATTTTGTAATAAAATTGACTGTTGCATTGCTATCAGTAACAATTAATTTTTTTAATCTCAATGCAATCAGACTAAATAAGTCTGATAAGTGTGTTAATGTTTATAGTAACAAGTAACAACGGTGTTAATGTGTGTTAATGTTTTAAGTGTTAATGTCTAAGTGTTAATGTTTATAGTAACAACGGTTTACATTTTCGTAATCAGTTCGTAAATTTTATATGATTACACGCATGGTTTAAATAAAGTTTAGAACTTTTAGCAAGTATTATACTACTTCGCCTAATATGATACAAATATGGAAAAAACTTGTTCGATCAAGGCAGACTTGTATCAACCAAGAAACTTGGTGTAAGCAAAATACACTGACGATATTGATTAACAGGAAAAGCTAATGTGTTAACACAGAATTTTGCAATTATGAAAAGAAATCAAGACATTTTCACGGCATTGTGATTCACGGATCACGAGGGCATTGCTGCTTATCGCGCAATATCAATTGTTTGAAATTGAATTTGCTGGCATGACCGATTTTCATCAACAAGAAGGTTTAATGCGATTTGATTTCCGGAATGCGACGGCGGAAGCTTACGTTTCATAAGCAAGTCAGTCACGCTGTGTTAGTCAATACACTGACCATGGTTAGTCACACTGACCATGAGAAGAAAAAAAAAATCCTAAACAACTCGCCTATGTTTACTATCAAAGACAAATTGAGTTCATAAATGCTTGTGATGTTATGATCTAACGAAGGTCGAAAGATCGTCGCGGACACGTGAGATCTTTACGATTTTACAATGTCTGATTCTTACGTTATAATGTTTAACATTACTGTTTAACAAGAAAATAGTTATCGCAAATATCTCATGTTTACAATATTTTGAAAATACTTTAAAATATTCTGCTTTTTTAACAATCTATGAACCAGATTGTATTTAATTCATTTCTGCGATATATGGTAACTGAAAGTTACCATTTAAGCGTAACACGAAATCAGTACAAATATTTGTCGTAATATCATAAATTAATTGTGGTAAAGTTCTTATAACTTACTTAGCTTGCATAAAAAAAACATACATAAAGGGTTTACGCAATTTACTTGCTTGCAACTGGATGAGAAAAGTTGTAATGTAAACATGTTGAATCGATACTCTGATAATTATAATAGCCCACATAAGTATTCTTGACATATTTTTATCATATCGTTATCTTGTTATTAACAACAAATATTAACAAGCCATGGTTATGATATATCGTTGAGCATAGATTAGTTTTATTTTATAAAGAATCGAACTTATTTCAATTAATCAAACTTAGTCATTGACTCGAAGTTATCGATCATCGCGATTCGTTATTAGAAAACGAGAACTTGTCACCCGTGACTTGCATCCTGAGTTGGACTATGAGTCACTTTCTCAGGCTATGCTCAGGCTCTTCATCAGGCTATGCATGGAGTTCAATTACACTTTTAATTGAATTTCCTCGACTCTCGTAAGCACGTAAGCTATAACGTCGATTTTTCATTCAACATTTCGTCAATCACGCATCCATCCACGCAATTTTATTTACCATATTATAGTCATAGTGTGAATAATCGTGTTACAACAGTTATTAAATAGCATAGTCAATTTTACATTGATCATAAAATGCCATAGTTTGATTACTTAAGTTATACATTTATTTTATGCTCCATATGTTGTAATTTTTGAGCAACGTGGATTTATCACGATGATAATTCATCTCAATAACAGGCTTACTGACATCTCATTATCTGCATTCGCAATAGCGTGCAGTAGTCAAGCTATTATTTATGCATCTTGTTATATTCTAAAAGAAGTAACATTTTACAGTCTTTCATTATGAAACATCGTTACACTTCGTCACATTCAGTACAATGATTGAACACATGCAATCTGTTAAAATCTTTGGTAACCTAATATAAGCGTTCAACGTGGTAACCCCGTTATTATGTTTTAGAGATGTTATTGCACATTTTTTTCTCTTTAAGAAAAATGATCACAGCACGCATTAATATGATTTTATCAATGGAATTCTTCTTTAAGTAATAATTCTATTACATTAAATACAGTAACGTGACTACGTTCTCTGAGAACGGTATTACTGTAGCCAGGCCTCCCAGCGCTGTTTTTTTTTCACCCAGATCTGGGTTTTTTGGCCGTCCCCTGGGTGTCTGGGTGAATTTTTCTTGTAAATGGCAAAATCTGGGTTTTTTCGTTAAGTGAGCTAATTTTATTCAATGCTATAATTGAAATATTCTTAATGCCTAAAATTTGATTATGAAGTCAATAAACAACGAATGGAGCAACGCACTAACCGTCAGGCTGTTTATTTTCCCTAGCTAACAGACGGTACTGGCGTTCATTACCAGTATTGAACCCGTTCATTACCAGTCAAAGCAACGGTTACCAACTTCTCGGCGCTCACTGCACATTCGTAGCATGCTTAGGCGCGAGGCCTTCGCCTTTGATGATTTGATCTCTGTGTGTACGTTTCACGCACAGACGTCTTGCATTCACGCACGTCGTCGTTTACAGTATCATTGGTACAGCAACAGCATTTGAAGTTGGCTTTGCTCGTTATGTTACCGTTATTCACGTGGGATTTGTTCACGTTTCTCGAGTTGATACTGTATTAGATTAATTTAAATATAAAAGAAAACAGCGTTTTGATGATTTCCTATGTCAGCGTTTTGATGATTTCCTAAATCAACATTCGCTTTTAAAATATCAACATTCGAACAGAGTAAATGAACATTTGCTACGTTCATTAAAGCTTCAGTGATTAATAATGACTAGCTTAAGTGCTGCTAACTTCCTTTTTAAGTTGCATATACTTTACTTTAGGACTCTAGAGTTAGCTGCGAATCACAGAAAGTGACGCAAGAGAGACTAATGACATCATGGGTGATGAAGCCCTGGCAGATCTTCAAAGAATTCGTTGCCAACACCTAATCTCCAACATTCACAAGTTTAAACAAAAATGAATATTTTTGTTTATATCAGAATATTGTTTTAACTAAAAAGTGCAGACAATTGTTTGTTTCCAGACTAATGCCCATTAAAATGGCTCTGACTGTCTGACATTCGACATTTTAAAATCACTATATACGATCAGCTGTATTTATAAGCCAAGATTGTGCGTGCGAAGAAGCCGCGATAACGGAACTGTTCTTCGACTCGAGCGTTGCCAACTGGTAATTTTCAATACCAGATTTCACGAATCTGGTATTCTGAGATGGTTTATGAAATTGATATTCACGATTTTGTATTATTGCCTAAATCTGGCACATTTCTGGTATTTTTTGACTAACTGCAAATTAACTGCATCGAGTTCCACCTCTGATGTTTGAAATTACCCCGGCGTGGGCTTGGATATTACCATTTGATCGGAGCTAATAGAGCTTTCCTGCCATTCTCGGAACCGCGAGATTACCGCTTGACGAAATAACTCTAATCTAAATGTTAACAATAAAAATGCTTAGCGCAGTCGGTGCCGGGTGCACGAGAGTAATGGTTCACGATTGCTACCTGATCAGTGAATAATGATGATATGGCCTTTGACAAATGAGGTTGTCGAGCTCCTACGTTTCTGTTTGGTGGTTTTAAAAACATATTGCGAGCTGCCTATGAGCTATGACCACTCTTGTGAAATTTTATCTCCAGTTATACTGACTGATCCAATTGATTCGTGGCTCCACTTCCTTTTGTAGATTTTATTCAAAAATGCAGTACATGTGAAAGTTAGACGTGAAAGAGCCAAGGCTTTTCTGAGCAATATTTAGAATAATCTTGCAATGTAACAATAACTACAAACGTTGAAATGACAAGTCTGAATAAAAGATTATTTTGAAAGTTTGAATTTAATTCTAAATATAAGCCAGGAAAAGAAATATCTTTTTCACCATTTTCTGTTTCTTATTTTCCTTCTCTTAAGGGGACCGACCGGGCTAAAATTTGAATATTTTGAGTTTTTCTGTTTCTTATCCCATCTTAAAGGTTGTTTTCTTGCGAATCGAACGATATAAGTATCGTCCCTGTGCGTCGAAAAATGACTTTGTGACAGCTCCTCAAAGGGAGGTGGGTTTTAGGTCCCTTAACAAAACTCTACGAGGATAAATAACGCGCTGGTAGATAGATTTTCTGAAGTACCCCTTTTTAGCCGTTTTCTATGAATTTCACGTTTTCTATCAATTTTTTCGAAAAATTCATAGGAGCAAAATGTTTTTTTTTACATTTTACGTATGTATGTGAAGTTTCATGACAATCGGATAATAACTGTAGAAGTTTTCCGTATGCCCGGTCGGTCCCCTTAACATATCCAACCTCCAATGACTCCCAAAAAATCGTATGCCGCACCACGCATATATCGTACGTGAAATACAACGTGTTTAATTTTGCTAATTTTTCGTCACGCCAGAAATATGCGCAAAAAATTATGAAAAATATTGTTTTCTTTTTCTATCCAACGTTTTTGACGATTAATTTCATAAAATCTGAAGGTATTAATCAGTTTTTGACGAATAAAATTTCTGGTATTTTTCTGGTATTTTGAGCTATTCAATCTGGTGATCTCGGCGAGAAAAAAGTTGGCAACACTGTTCGAATCTTCGTAGTTCGTTAACTTAAATAACTTCGTTTATCAGTCAGTCATCGGCAAAATTTAGCAGTGGGTGGTGTGTGTCTCGTCTTGCCTCACGTTTGGCGTTCGGAATATTCAGTCAGTCAGTCTTTCAGTATCCTGATAAAAAATGCCTGCTCAAATACCTGAAACTCTTGCCAATATTTTTGCGTGAGTATAATAATTGAATTACAAACTATATATAATTTTGATTTATCTATTGTTAATTTGTTATTTTTTTGACAGAAACCATCCGTAGCGCTGCGGCGGGCGCCGGGCGGCACTGACATGCCACTGTTGTGGGCACTTTAATTGATCATTGATGTGAACAAATGAAAGAACTTTCTGTTCACATTATCACAATCACATTCTTGAACAAATAGAATTGTGTTGTATTTTAAAAGTCACTTGTATACCTAAAGTTATTTTTTGTAGTTGATGGCTAACAAGGTTCAAGGCCACTTAAGTTCTTGTGGCAAAGTGGCAAAGCAGAGAGTTTTTTAGACTCTCCCTCAAGTTCATTTTTGAGTCCTATAAGTAGACCAGTAAAGTATCATGCATAGTGGCAAAGCAGAGAGTTTTTTAGACTCTCCCTCAAGTTCATTTTTGAGTCCTATAAGTAGACCAGTAAAGTATCCTGGATACGAGCATAATCATACATAAGAAATTGGTTTAAATCTTGGGTAAATGAGGAAATTAAAAATGAACTGATTCAAAAAAATCTCTGGTTTGCACTTTGCAGAGCTGGGCAGCGCTACTTGGAAATGTAGCGGCGCTACCGCTACTGCTACAGGCTCTAAATGTAGCGAGCGCTACCGCTACACCATAGTGGCAAACCACAGCTTTTTTAGAATCAGTTCATTCTTAATTTCCTCATTTACCCAATATTTAAATCAATTCCTTATGCATGATACTGCTGGTATCCAGGATACTCTACTGGTCTACTTATAGGACTCACAAATGAACTTGAGGCCTTGAGGGAGAGTCTAAAAAACTCTGTTTTGCCACTATGCGCTACACCCACTAGATTGTAACGGGCGCTACCGCTACAGTAAAATGTAGCGCGCTACATTAGCCGCTACAATGGCCAAAATTATTGGAAATCTCTAAATATTTATTGTTATGCTATTGGGAATTACTCATTAACATTTAATGATAATAAAACATTTGTAAAACATATCATTGCAACTTTATTGCAATTAAGGGGACCGGCTACCCTAAAATTTTCAATTTTGGCGTTTTTCGGTTTTTGTGCTCATCTGAAAGCTGGAATTCTGTTCTTTCCAATGGTACCACTGCCATCGCTGTACGCCAATATTTACGTTCATGGCGTCTCTTTAAAGGGAAGCGGGTGAGAGAGTTCTTTAAGTAATTGGATATAAAGTAATTAGCTGCTGAAATCTTTGAATATAGTTTCTACTTGAGTTGTGCTGCAGTTACATGCTTAGTCTCATCTTAAAGCTGACATTCTGGGCAGGTACTTTCAAAACATTGCTAAGTGCTCGTAGCGGCTTAAGTGCAGCGTAAGTCCGCTAAGTGCTCGTAACTTCAAATTATGGTACCTTCAAAACATTTTGCAGTACGTTACGAGCACGCAACTTTGCGCCGATTGAAAGGTCGCGTAAGTCGAGTGACGAGCAACTTTTGAGTGAATGAAGCGATTGGTAATCATTCAGTTACTAGTATCTAGTCTCTAATAGTGTCTGGACTAGTGTATCATACTAGTGTCTAGACTTTAGTATAATTTTAAGGTAAATCCTCTAATTTTGATTTAGAAAAATATCCTTATTCGATATTAAGAAAATTTTGTTAGTCATGCATCAAATGAATTTTTTCTTAGTATATGTCAACAGAAAACGAATCTGACGGGTGAAGCTAAAAAATGAACTTACTAAAATTCTATTCTCGTTGTTCATTATGTCATATTAATGACTAAATAACATTTTGCTATCTTAAAACGGCATTTGTCATCAAAATATTAGATTAAAAGAGTCTAGAATTTTTTAAAAAGAGACAAAATTTTTAAATAACTGAACACAGAAGTATGGCGTCATGTGGCGTCATGTGACTCATAATGTAAACAAAGGATGTAAGCGAGCTTGTGATTGGCTGACATGCAACATGGTTTGAAGGTACGGTCTTAGCTAAGTCGGTCGTACGAAAGTTTTGAAGGTGTCAAAAAACGCTGATCGTACGCTAGACGTATCTTCTTGAGCTTAAGTTCAAGAATTTACGTCCACTTGGCAATATTTGAAAGTACCTGCCCTGAGCTTTCCAACGATACTACTGCGATCCATGTACGGCAATATTGACACAGATGGCCGGGCTTTAATGGGGGGCAGGGGGTGGAGTTCCTTCACTAAATAGACCTAGCGAAATTAGAGCGGCAAGACAAGATATCTTGGTGTATCTGGCATCTGAGCTCAGTTACCCTCCTAACATTGTACGTAGAGGTGCGCTACAAGTTGCTGCTAGCATCCTTGAGTGGATTAAGCTACAGAAGCCTGTAGTTTGGTATCCATGCTACATTGAGTGCCTATTTCAAGGCGTACGGGACTTTGTCGCGCCGTCCTGAAAAGTTTGAAAAGTTCAACTTATTGTCACGGAAAACCTATCTCCTCCTACAGTTTTCAAGCTACAGCAATGAGACATACATCATTCGATTCGTAAGAAAATTACCTAAAAATTTGACGATTATTTTTTTGAATTTCTGTCTGGTTCATTTTTTATATGGGGGAGGGGGGAAAAATGAGAAAAATGGGATAAAACACACTTAAAAGAAAAACTAAGGGGAAAATGAGAAAAGTGATCATCAAATTTTTAGGTATGGTCCTTACGAAGCGAATGATACGTGTCTCGATGTTGTAGGATGATATTTGTAGGAGGAGATAGATTTTCTAAAGTACCCCTTTTTAAGCCGTTTTCTATGAATTTCATGTTTTCTATTAATTTTTTCGAAAAATTCATACAAGCAAAATGTTCTTATTTTTACATTTTACGTATGTATGTGAAGTTTCATGGTGATCGGATAATAACTGTAGAAGTTTTTCCAGAGGGTAGCCGGTCCCCTTAACCTAACCGAACTAGTATGGGTTACCCCAGGGTTAGATACAGTAAATAAAAGTTACAGTTATTTTTATGTTTTACCTTCCCTACATGGATGTGAACTTTAATCTACCAATCTAAGAAATTATCCACATATACATAACAAAACCAGTCTTTTTTTATATATATATATATATTGATATGTTTCTCGACATTGTAGCATGTGATTTGCAAAAGTTATAAACTTTTTTAGAGTACCCCTTATTTGCCGTTTTCTATTAATTCTACGTTTTCTTTCATTTTTTTTTATATACATGAACAAAAAGGTCTTAGATTTCTGTTTTACATATGTGTACCAAGTTTCAAAACAATCTGTCTGTAAACAAAAAAGTTTTGTTGGAGGGTAGCTGGTCCCCTTAAGTAAAATCTAAAGGCTTTATCTATAAATGTAGCGGTAGCACTGTAGCGGCAAAACCTCGTATCGCTACTTAAATATGTAGTGGGCGCTACCGCTACATTGCCTTGAATGTAGAGCCGCTACCGCTACAGAAAATGTAGCGGCCGCTACATGTAGCGCGCTACTGCCCACCTCTGCTGGTTTGTCACTATGTTCTTGCTAGCTTGCTAGTTGCTGCCATAGTAAATAGTTTTCACTTATAGACTCTCATAGTCTCACTCAAGTTCAATTTCGAGTCCCTAAATCCCTCACTCAAACCACCCTAAGTGTGGCTTGAGTGAGAGTGGGTCTGATCATCACCGTTGACCATGTGTCGGTCCCCGACACATGTCGGTGTGTGTGTGGCATGTAGAAAAAAACCTGTGTGTGAGGGTCAGAGACTGTGTCTCTCACTGCTGCACCTGTGCATCACAGCCACCACTCAGATGACATGAAAATTTAGATTCATTTCATTTGTCTTTTCAAGTCAATTACAAGTCATGTTCATTTTGGTCACATTTGTTCCTGGTTGTGAACTTTTTGCCAAATTTTGTGTGTATTTTGTATGTTTTGAGGGCTGACCACTGACTCAACATGTGTTTTGCCAACTATCTGTCCATTTACTATAAAGTTTGTCTCTATTCACAAACATTGATAATAGCTGTTCTAATTTTATGGCAGGCACATTGACAGTAACCAGGAGAAGTATGTGGAAACTCTGCGAGAGGCTGTGGCCATCAAGTCGGTGTCAGCCTGGCCTGAAGCTCGACCTGAAATAAAGAAAATGGTTGATTGGACACAGAAAAAGCTTGAAGCTCTTGGTGCCACTTGCGAGCTTAAAGATGTTGGCATGCAAGTAGGTCTTCTATTCTTATCTTTATATCTTTACGTACTAGTTTTGTTGCTGCTCAAACCATTTCCTTCAATTTGAATTTATATGGACTAGGTACAACATTTTGTACATACTCTCATAGTGTTAAAAACTCAATGAAATATTTTCATTACTGTACTAGTCAGACACGTTTGTATTATGAAAGTCATAGCATGAAAATTATGCAGACTATTTGGATTGTGCCAGGGCTAGAGACACCTAACTAACTACCTGTGGTGCCTTTTTCCCTATCTGATATGATTAGGGTTCAATGTGGCCCTATGATAAGCAGACATTATTTCTTTATAAATTTAAATGAATAGAATTTATGCTCAGTTTTGCTTAATTGACTAGCCTTTATCTTATCCAGTTATTTATTTTTTTAAGTGCACATGAATATATAGGTGATGTGTTAATTAGGTATATATAATTAATTCAGTGCATACTTGAAGAAAATAAATGATTCTTCATTCCTACTAGTCTAAGTAATATCTGTAATTTATAACCATATTGTCCATGCTGTAGGTACAGAAAAAATTGTATACATCCAGTCCATCTCAATTGCCAAGAATAATGGGCTGTGAACATAAACTAGCATAAACAATAAAGTTTATTTTGTGCCTTCCAGACCCTGCCCAATGGCAGTCAGATCCCTCTGCCTCCTGTTTTGTTCGGTCAGCTGGGTACTGACCCTAAGAAGAAGACTCTCTGTGTGTATGGTCATCTCGACGTACAACCAGCCTTAAAAGTTTGTCTACCAATATCTCTTTACTTAGTTTAATTGTTCCCAACTTTGTATTGATCAATTCTTTAATAGTGAGTGTAGTTTTATATGCATCTTGATGTACAACCAGCCTTAAAAGTATGTCTACAAATATCTCTTTACTTTCTTTGTTTAATTTTTTTTTCAACTTTGTTTTGATCAATTCTTTAATACCCATAGTGAGTGTAGTTTTATATATACCTACTCTCTTACTCGGTAAACTACTGGAAACGTGTAAGTTAAATTTTGGTTTTAAATCTACCTTATTGCTGTCATCCTGTCAGAATTCCAACAATTAGTTTTATTCTTCCTACCAATAGTAGGTTACTTCTTTGTAATATATGAATCTCAGGAAAGCTCATCTAATTAGTATTAATTAGCAATTTCTTATGTTTCAATTATAATTCATTACTGATGACTCATAATCATGACATTGATTTGTAACGTTCTGATATCTGAGATAACTTGTGATATCATCTGCCATTCTTGTTATCTGGTGACCACTTCACATCCTCTCCAGCCTCCACAACAAATATGCTTATAATTAGTGGGTATGTTTAATGATCTGCTCTGGGATGAAACTTAGCTTTCAGTGTCATTCTAAATTTGTTGGTTTAGGGATTTTTGATGAAGTCGTTGAAAATGAAATGATATTTTCATCATTTATACTACGTAGTGATACCTTCTCTTCAAGATTTTCACCAATTCTCTTTATCATGATATATTTAATTACATTGTGAGCAATTTGCATTGTATGAATGATAAAATATCAGATATCCATTTTGGGGAATGAAGATCAAATTGCTCTGTCTTTTGAATTGATCCTATTGTTTTCATAGATCTAAACTTATGTACATTTTTAGAATCAATTCAGTTGATAGAATTCAAGTGTAGTGTATTTTACAATTTCAAGTGAAGGCACCACTCATAAAATGCATCCCACTCTTTTCATCACAATTAAAATGCATTACAATGCTCTCTAAGCTGGTTCAGAAGAGGCTTTTGAAGCGCTATCAGATAAAGTCAACACTTATTGTGTTGACTTTATGAGATGAGAGCTCATCAGCTCATATCTTTATGACTGTCATCGGACCTGATAACAGCTTCTGACATTCTAATCTAATGTTGCCTCTGCTTAATAACTGATCAAATCTAAGTCAGGTTCTTAGTCTTAACTGCTTATTCAATTTGTTGATTGTTATTTGTAAAGTCGTATAGGTACATTTTTTCACTTTCCTTTTGTTAAATTTGCCACTGGGAGTAGACTATTGAATTAGGATTATTTACTGCAGTTAATGATGAACAAAAAGTTTTTCAAACAAAATTAAAAATGTGGCATTCTGGGAAAATATAAAGTTTTATGGTATAATCATGGTCGAAAATGATTTACTTGACATCTGCTCCATCTTTTAATTGAAGTACCTTATTTATTTTTTCAATGAAGCTTTTAATTCTTACCAAAATAACTCGTACACTTTTTAACTCGTTTATAGTTAAGAAGGGACTGTGCATTCAACTGAAGCATCAATTTTTGTATCATCTTCCACTTGAAGACGAGTTCGTGTGAAATACTTCCCGTTCAAGTCCAGAAATATTTCTTCAGTATTGTAAGAAAATTTTTTCACCGAATTTCACACTCGTTTGTTAGTATTAAACATAAAAGCTTTGCCGGCATCAAGATGAAGAAACTTACTACTACTCTATATTCTTAATTTTTTGGTAGCTGATTACAAACTCGTGTATATTGGTTCTTCATACTCCACCAGGAGGATGGCTGGGACACCGAGCCCTTCGAGCTCATAGAGAAGGACGGGAAGCTTTACGGCCGCGGCTCCACGGACGACAAGGGTCCCGTCATTGGCTGGGTGCACGCCATCGAAGCCTTCCAGAAGACCGGAGCTACACTGCCTATTAATATCAAAGTAAATGCTTTACTACAACCCATCATGTTACAGTTGTGAGTCCTTGCAGACGAGACCGTCAATTTGCATAAAGTGTTACTTAGTTGAATGTTTTTACTGAAGAATCTAAAGAGCTATTTCCCTGTTAGCTAGTAATTTAGTATTTTATCTTCTTATTGCCAATCTCGTCTTTTTCTCGAGTCCTAACGTAGAAAATTCACTCTTCTGAATGCTGGTATCTTGAATATTTAAAAATGATGTATGTTGTGAACTACGAATATCCTACCTTGCATTTTGTTGCGAAAATTTCTCATCAAAGTTAGTAATATTTTGACTGTGTAATTGCTACGAATACCAGAACCACACTAAAACCTTAACCAGCCTGCTTATATTGTAATCTGATACTAGCATCAACATTGATGCTTTTCTGTGAACCAGTTTTCGAAAATGAGTTACCCTTGTTAGTGTTGCCAAGGCATATTATTGTTTTTCATTTCTGCTTCAACATGCTGAGCAGCGATTGTGTTATGCGCTTATCGTTGATTGTTATTGATACGCTACCTTTACAGTTCGTGCTGGAAGGCATGGAAGAGTCTGGCTCAGAGGGACTAGAAGAGCTTCTAGTGGCAGAGAAGGACAAGTTCCTGGCCGGCACGGACTTTGTTTGCATCTCAGACAACTACTGGCTGGGCAAGAAAAAGCCCTGCCTCACTTATGGTCTACGGGGGATCTGCTATTTCTTCTGTGAAGTAAAACTAAAAAGACATTCAAAAAATAAGTGTATTATGGGGCAGAATACTTATTTACTTTTAATGAATGGTTTTTCGTTACAATGTATGAGGAACATGTAAATGATATAATAATTAATTGAACTTTGAGTAACAAAATGGCAGACTCGCGTGCCATATTTGGCTAGTTTATTGTGCATTGACATTTGACAGTCTGTCAGCCTCGTCACCACGTCAAAATCCTGAGTCCACCATTAAATACATCGAAGTTTTTGCTTAAACTTGTATGCTTTTGGATCAACAGTCACGAAACTGAAAATATTTCTTCTTGCCTGCAATAAGGCATATTACTTGGAAACCATAGAAATTATTTCGCAGGATAAATCTAAGTTATATTGTTTACTTAGCAAACTTAAAAGTAGCTGATGTCTGAAAGAAATGAGTTTTTGCATGCGGATGCATTTTTTAGGAATGTGATAATGTGGAAACAAACTTTGCCATCAAAATTTCAGATAATTGTGCTTGTTCTAAATGGGTCAGTCAGGCCAAAAGAACAAAAACCGGTCGTATCTCTGAGGGTTATTTTTTGTTTTGTCCTTAAAACAAGGTATCAGCTGCAAGGAACTCTTAAGCACCGACTGTAACACTAAATTGCCACGTGCAGATCGAGTGCTGCTCCAAGGACCTGCACTCTGGGGTGTTCGGCGGCACTGTCCACGAGGCGATGGTCGACCTCATGTACATGATGAGCCAACTTGTCGATGCCAAAGGAAAAATTCTTATTCCAGGTACAACTTTTACTTGCTGGGTGTTTCTCTAGTGACTTTATCGTAACCTGGCTTTTTTTGCTCAGCCTTGAATTTCATTGTGAATTTAGCTCTCAAAATTTGTAGCTATATCTTCTGCCTAGAAGTTACTGACCAACTAAATTTCAACCTCTGCTATTTTTCAATGTGTTCCCGTCTTCAACATGAGTACTTTCAAGTTCTATGGGTGTTAAGCATGTTTTTAACAAATTAATATGTGATCTCATCAGTACCTATTGAACAATTCATGCTACCAATCATCTGCCTCAACTCTGACTCGTTTCTCTCCTGCCACCTGCGATTAAGAACCTTTCTCAATGCCCGCCTGATGAACCATTTATACTAGTTTTAATTACTCTTTAAGTTATTAAATATTACGGTATTTAAGTGTTGTATAATTTGCAGGGATTATGGATCAGGTTGCCCCTGTAACACCAGAGGAAGAAGGGCTCTACAAAGATATCGACTTTGACGTTGAGGACTACAGGAACGATATCGGCGCTGCGAGACTTGTTGACCACAAGGATAAGGTTCTTAACTCGTCTAGCTTGAAATAACTCTGCTCACGCGCTGCTCTACTCACCTTCCATGCGCACGCGCTGTTCTGCTCACACCCCATGCGCACGTGCTGTTCTGCTCACACCCCATGCTCACTTCGCTGCTCTGCTCACACCCCATGCTCACACGCTGCTCTGCTCACACCTCATGCTCACACGCTGCTCTGCTCACACCTCATGCTCACACGCTGTTCTGCTCACACCCCATGCTCACGCGCTGCTCTGCTCACACCCCATGCTCACATGATGCTCTGCTCACACCCCATGCTCACGCGCTGTTCTGCTCACACCCCATGCTCACGCGCTGCTCTGCTCACACCCCATGCTCACGCGCTGCTCTGCTCACACCCCATGCTCACATGACGCTCTGCTCACACCCCATGCTCACACGATGCTCTACCCCCTCACTCACACTCTACCCCCCTCACTCACACTCTACTCCCCTCACTCACACTCTACACCCCTCATTCACACTCTACACCCCTCACTTACACTCTACCCCCCTCACTCACACTCTACTCCCCTCACTCACATTCTACACCCCTCACTCACACTCTACACCCCTCACTCACACTCTACACCCCTCACTCACTCTACACCCCTCACTCACACTCTTACACTCTACCCCCCTCACTCACACTCTACACCCCTCTCTCACACTCTACACCCCTCACTCACACTCTACCCCCCGTGTGCAGATGAAGACGCTGATGGCTCGCTGGAGGTTCCCCTCTCTCTCTATCCACGGCGTGGAGGGCGCGTTCAGTGAGCCCGGTGCCAAGACTGTCATCCCGCGCCGCGTCGTGGGCAAGTTCAGCATCCGTATCGTGCCCGACCAGACCCCTGAACACGTCACCAAGTGCGTCGTTGACTACATGGAGCAGCTGTGGGCCAAGCGTGGCAGTCCCAACACCATGAAGGTGAGAGACTGTCATGAAAATAGTATATAATTTATATTTAATGAGGACACTCTATACGACTATGTTCTTCGTGGCAGTACAGTACCATCCATTGATTGACTATAATTTCATTTGGACATTCATTTTACTTCTAATGAGGCATTTATTATTAACATAGGTAATATATTCCAATCAGGCAATTATTAATATGTTGAAAATAATTGATTCGTAACAGTTCCGACTCTATAGCTATTAGCCAGACTAGGATAAGACCAGGGAACGGCAACATATGCTAGTTAGTTATTCGAAATATGTTTAATTATCATGTGAATATGTGATTTTTATCAAACGCTAACTTCAAGATTTTTTAAATTAGGGACATTATGAGAATATTACTACTTGAATGACGAAAGACTAAATACATTTTCAGCTGATTCAACCTGACAATGAAATTTGAAATAAATAACTGAATGAAGATGAGATGTACGGTACATAAAACAGATAGTCTGACTTATGATCTAAGTGCCTTCTATTTTAGTATTAATTTGAAATTGAAAATTTATAACTAAATCTTTTATCCAGTGCCGTTTAGTCAATTAATTCTGAAGTCAAAACACGATTTAAAAAGTGTATATGTATCAACTTTTTTTAATTTCTGCTCTGTTTGGCCAATCACATTTAAAGTGACCAGCTCGTTCTAAACACGTATCGGTGCCATGTACAGAAAATGTCACTATTTGGATCATATGACCCATACATTCCTGTGAGTGTTTGGTGCATAAATCCATGTACAATATATTCATTAAGCTGTGTATTCAAATATATTTATTAACAAATTAATTGTGAGTAAGATTTAACAATGACCTAATATGGGATTATTGCATTACTTTTACGCATTTTTGCTTCTTCCAATGCTACACAGAAGACTAATTAATTAGAATGCGTTCAATAATGATGCTTCATAATAAATCCGGAATGAAATTTCAAATATATTTTATTCTAGGAATATCTATCTATGAATTTAAAATGCCGTTCATACTATTGAGTAACTTATTTAATACGGTATCAACACTAAATCTTAATCTCTATTAACATCTTTTTCTTTCTTGAGCAACTTGTTTCCCTCTTCTATCGTGACGGTTTTTTTCGTGTCCATGGAAGTGTTTCGTTATTGAAGCCTTACACCCTGGTCCTGATTGCAATTTGCAATCTTCTTGTCATTGATATTTTCAATTTGAAGATGAAATAATTGCTTCTGCCGTGTTGGTTCGATGTAAATTGATTGGTCTGCCATCAAACGTTAGTCCAGTTCCTCAATTTAGCTTCTGGAATGGTACAGCAACTTGGTACTGATATTGGAATCTATCAAGTTTAGACCTTGAAATTTATTTGTGAAATTATTACTGAGGCTGTCCCCTTTAGATGCCTGAAAATAAATCCTTTGTATATATAATAGATGCCTCAAAATATATCCTTTGGTAATACTGTAGTTGTGGTAGTTGTTGTTGCGTCACTAGGGTGAAGCTGAATCATGACAACAACTACGACTCATAACTGCAGTGTATGCTGTGTTATGATGTCTTATGCGGCCATTTTTAGCGCATTTTCTCATTTATTGAAAAAATGCCCTATTATGCTCTTCATCTCCGTCTGTCTGACCGTCCGTCTGTCCGTGACTTCACGTTTTCGCCGACGAGAAAATGCGCTCTGTTACTCACTGCAGTGAGTACTGAGTATTTATTTTACCGTACACTGCGTGCTTTCGGTCGTAAGTCGGCCTTGCTTATAAAATCAAAAGAAAGTATTCAGTATACGTTTTGTCAGCTATTGCTTGTGTTGGTGTCTCGTTGAAAGAGCTCATAATATATGCCTATATTGTGGCTACCGACCATTGTTCTGCTGCAGATTTTGTTTGCGGTTTGTTCTCGCGCGCACTTTTTACTGATGATCTCTTGAAATAATTTCTTATCAACTTTACGACCCAACTTACACCTTCCCTAACCTGGTTCTTGCACGCCTGATGATCAGAAGTGCCGACGAGCAATACGGTTCCTTTCTTTACGATCATAGCAATGCAAAGAAGAACAGAACAACTAACGTAACATATTATAAAGGTTAGTATTGATTTATGACCAAATTGGTCACCTTTTCGTTCGCTTTCGTTAAGGTCGATTTTCGTAAGCGCGGATTACTATGTTATCCACGCGGCCACTATAGAGTTAAAAATAAAACAACACGTTGCATTCAAGATTCTAATACAACTTATTGTAAATAATTTACCGCTGTGATATGTAACTCCAACTTTTGAAACCCAAATATACTCTAAAATTCTAATATTTTTTTTTTTTTTTGTCAGTAGAAGAGCTTCTTTGATCATCGTTCGACACTAGTTGAGTTACCGCGCCTAGTGAAGGGTTATGAGTTTTGAATCGAGTTGCCGCGCGTATTGAATGGTTTTTGAAAACTCTGCCTGCGAAAGTTTCACACTAAAATAAGAGCACAAAATATAGCAATTTTAGCAGCATATCGTGTTTTTTCTGAATTATAACTGCAGATTAATAGATTAATAAAAGCCAAATTTTGAAACACAGGGAAGACTATTTTGATGCAAGCCCCTTTCTTCTTTCTGTTGGAGTTGATTTGAGGTCATAGTTTTCACATTATGTTGGTTTTATTTTCTCCTCAAAGTTGAGATGGACATATTTTATTGACAGCTTGAAACTTCACATGGAAATAGATCTATATTGTATCACGTCGCTATAACTTCTATCATTTTTGCTTCAATATTCTTAGTTTCAATTGCATGCTTTACTTTTTATGCTATCGTAAAGTAAAATTTTCTTAAAATCAAATAATTCTGGTAGCAGTGCAGTGTGCACTCTAGTTTGATATTTCTTGGGGCGCTTTAGTCTTAATTTACTCTCCTGAAGTATGCCCTGAATTTCCATGGTACTCTGCTACAATTCACTTTATTCATGATCCAAATTTGTGACGTGCTCTCTCCTTCTGTAATCGTGCAATTTGGTTGGCGGTACTTCATCTGCCTTGTACACTGTCATTTCTATGGATTTTTGCTGGATTTCTTTAACATTTTAAATGATGAGATTTTTCCGATATGACCACAAATTTCAGTGTGTGAAGAGGAGTCGCGCGAGAGTGCACAGTCTAGGCTAGAGCTCCTAACTTGTGTAGTGTTGAATTTAAATTAAAAACTCGGTAAATCTCCTTGCACGTGCCAGTGGTGTGGGTAAAATTTGCTATCCTGTGGTAAATGGCTGAGCGTGTTGGGTGCAGAGCGGGTGCCTGCACAGCGGCCGACACTGGGTGTGTTCCCCCCAAGACCCGAACTATCAGGCGGGCGCTCGGGCCATCGTCGACTGCTATGGAGTGTCGCCTGACTTCACTAGGGAGGGCTGCTCCATTCCCATCACCATCACCTTCCAGGTCCCCGGCTAACTCGTGATCCGCACGACAGTCTTGTTGGACACGACTCCGTCATCGTCATTTTCACGTTTCATTTGATCTTTAATAGCGCTTTTTTGTGTTCATCATGATCGTTCATTACTGTACTATTACCAGTCCAACGGCCAACTAGGCCCTTCCGATTTATGGTATCCAGATGTCGGTAAAGGAAGGTCCGCAATCTCATACTCTGGTGCTGCTTTTGAGGTGAGTTCAATTCCGGCGCGTCGGACGAAATAAGCATCCGTACCGCTTCTCCGGCGATTGTCATTTTCATCACTTGTTGCATTGCATTCAATGCTGTATTCGGTTGATCGCGCCTTCACAATTCCGCAGATGCAAAACGTAATCTTATCTGCTTACTTTCCGGAGTGTTACGGTGTTTCGCCTCAGAAGTAAAGAAGTCTAAACCCAAGACCAGATGAATCAGGCTGCGAGCCTGAGACCAACGAAGAAACCTGACCCTGCAAAACTGTATATTGTACCTTCAGCGCGTAATAGACGAAGCTGATATGAAGCGCTAAAAATCTCTCCCCTACTACTACTGGTGTCTGGCTGTTGAGCTCTCGCGTCAAGCTTTCTGGCAGTTTCGTTGATCTGTGTTCTATGTTCGGCAGACTTCGAGTAACCTTTACTGGCGCCGCAATTATTCCTTCCTCCTCTAATTAGCTGCCTTCGTTCTGTAAATAAAGATTTGTCTGTTGAGGTCGTGATGTATCTTTTCAAAAGACATCGGTCCGGTTTTCCGTGTCTTCTAGTGTGTTGAATCGGTTTTCTTTTTTTGTACGAGTACCTCGTTTTTCGTTTTTTTTTTTTTTTTTTTTTTTTGTCTCTACGATCGGTTACCTGTAAGGTCTTTGTTTTGCTAATTTTTCTTCTATTATTTAAGCTCTATTTTCTATCACATCTTTTTCACAGTTCCCGAGTTTCAGGTTTCACCCACTTCAGCTGGATTTTTTTAACGTGAATTCACGCCCCGTGTTTTTTCTTTCGTCTCTAATTAATGAAATCCCTCGACGATATTTTCCCCGTGCTTTTCTCCGGCCCGATACGAATTGTTACACAAAAATATTATTTCATTATAAACTGTAAACTAATCAGTGGCGTAAAGGCTACCTATTATAGTTAGATGGCGTCGAAGATAAATGACAATACAAGCATTAAATTTTTCCTTCGACATATTTCAAACTAATTTACATCTCTTTGTTAAGCGGCTTTCGTTATGTACTCCTACAAAAATTTAATCATTTATCTACGCATTCAACGATATCAATTTCATCAGTCGTTATGGCTGGCATAGCATTAAAATATTTGTGTTGCGGTGGTTGTGGCACAGACTTCGATGTACCACGGCGGCAAGTGCTGGGTGTCAGACCAGGACCATCCTAACTACGAGGCTGGTCGCCGCGCCACCGAGGCGGTCTACAAGACTACCCCTGACATGACGCGGGAAGGTGGCTCCATACCCATCACGCTTGTGCTTCAGGTCGTACAACGAGAACATTATTATGCGTGAAATTGTCCTTCATTCTTGACTGTGATCAATACAGGAGTCTCGGATTTGTGGTAGGTAGCGGGAGGGTGGCTCCATACCCATCACGCTTGTGCTTCAGGTCCTACAACGAGAACATTGATATTTAGAGAGTAGCGGCTTGTAATTGTCTTCACTATTATTAATGCAGCAGTCCCGGACTTGTGGTATTCACCTTATTCCAGTCGTAACCTACAAAGAGAACATGAATATTTAGAGAGTAGCGGCGTGAAATTGTCCTTCATTCTTGACTGTGATCAATACAGGAGTCTCGGATTTGTGGTACTCACCTTATTCCAGTCATAAATTGTCTGGTAAGTAACAAGAGGTCAACTAAACACGACGCATCTACGAACCTAGTGGATCTCGTGCTCTGCATGCTCAGTTTTGCATGAATGTGCCCAAATTCTTCTCTGTCGCTTTCCAAAATGGTTTTATATTTTGGCTTCTTATTTAATTGACTGTTGTCGAATCCCATAGTCTCATTACCCATAGCTGCTCCTTCCCTATCCTAGAATCTGACTGCAAAAGCGTAGTGTTTGAATCCACTGTGCCAATTTCTCCTTTCGCTACTTCGGTTCTTATGGAGCCATTGCGGTTGACTTCTACTTCTCTCGTGGAAAAAAATTGTGCAAATCCATCTATACATGTCTGTTTTCTCTAATATGGTATGGCTACAGTGATAGCATTCCTTGGTTTTATCTCATTTACCGGGCGATTGATTCACTTGGCTGTATCCTTATCGCGAAGTAGACTTGAAATTCCATTCCACGGCTTGCATAAATTTCTTTAAATCTAAATTGCTCGTGAACTTTTCTCTCCTTCATTAGGCATTTCTTTTCGATTCTCGTTCTTCCACTCCCTCTTCTGAATATTTGTTGACGGTACATCTTCCACCACACAACAATCGAAATCGGATATTTACACTCCACTTGCCTTCCCCTCCAATCCTCTAAGCAATTTTCACACGTTGCGTTATCCTGACGAATAAAGGTCCCATCATTAGGATATTTGTTGACCATCCAACTTTCACCACACAACAATCGAAATCGGCCTTTCCCTCCAATCCTCGAAGCATTTTTCACACACATTGCGTTATCCTGACGAATAAAGGTGAGGGAGAATGAAGGTAGCGCGCCCGCGTGGGTGTCCGACACGCGTCACCCTCAGTTCACCGCCGCAGCGGCGGCCACCTTCACAGTGTACGGCCAACGGCCTGACATGACACGAGAAGGAGGCTCTATACCCATCACCATCACACTCCAGGTACCGACGGTGTACTGTGCACGCTTGATGATCCTTGCCCGCACTAGTTGATTGGTGGAGGCTCTAGGATCTGTATATTGAACCTAAGTTTGTAGCAAATTTAATTGGTTTTCTATCGTCTTGTTTTGATTTGATCGTCTTGCTCTTGGGAAAATAGTTATCGTCTTCTTTTAATCGCTAGTTCGTTGTTTAAAGGACGACTTACGTCAGTCTGGATAAATTTCTTGTTGATACGGTAACATGGTCACATTATCGCCTCAAGACGATGCGGATGTAATGATGGAGGTAAGTACTGCACTATTTCTCTATATTACAGTTTGGCGGTCAACGACGACTTGCGGTAAGCGCATTACGACCCTAAGTGTTAAGATTGTCCTCTCTCGCCTCGAAATCATTACATCCATATATAATCATTATATAATTGGATGAAATATTGACTATACTTTCAGTTTCCTGAGAGAACCATATTTACTGGAAGAATGAAAAAGTTTACCATTTGATACTGTTCATGTTGTGTGATATAAACATTACCTGACAATATTCATAATTGTTGGTGAATCTTTAAACGGACAAATTCATCCAAATCTGATATAATTCAAACAATATATACAGGTTTAGCCTGTCATACGGACCTGCCTAATGTCTTGTCGCACTCGTACAGGAGGTGACTGGCAAGAACGTGCTGCTGCTGCCCATGGGCGCCTGCGACGATGGTGCCCACTCCCAAAACGAGAAGATCAACAGGACTAACTATATTGAAGGGGTGTGTAGATTTTCCTTGCTTAATTAGTGATAAATTTTAGTTACAAAACAATTCCGTAAAAGGGCTTTTGATTGGATGTCTGTGCATGCGGCAGCAACGAATGAAAAAAGCCCAGTCTTATTTGTGGCGATTTGCTGAGGAATATTTAATTTCATCGACACTTGAAAAATGGCAATATCAATTACGTTTGATTGTTAGTAAATTTATTTTGCCGTAGGTTTGTAAATTTATTTTGCGATCAGCATGCAATTGTCAGTCAAGTATCATTGTTAGGTTGGTTTACCTGTATGTAGTAATACTGTAATTGGTACTGCAATTATAACTCGTTTTGAACATGGATCTGCTATTAAGAAATACAGAACATGTTATTAAGAAGCTGGGCATATAAGTTACTGCGAAGAATTGATTGTATTTATGAATTATGCTCGTGATAGGAGCGGGTGCTGTACATAGACAAGTTTTACTTTCATGTCATTCCGTTCAGTCAAGAGTTTGTAGACACGAAACGAGTCCGTGGACACGAAATGAGTTGTAGACACGAAATGAGTTGTAGACACGAAATGAGTTGTAGACACGAAATGAGTTGTAGACACGAAATGAGTTGTAGACACAAAATGAGTTCGTAGACACGAAATGAGTTCGTAGACACGAAATGAGTTCGTAGACACGAAATGAGTTCGTAGACACGAAATGAGTTCGTAGACACGAAATGAGTTCGTAGACATGAAATGAGTTCGTGGACACGAAATGAGTTCGTAGACACGAAATGAGTTCGTAGACACGAAATGAGTTTGTAGACACGAAATGAGTTCGTAGACACGAAATGAGTTTGTAGACACGAAATGAGTTCGTGGACACGAAATGAGTTCGTAGACACGAAATGAGTTCGTAGACACGAAATGAGTTTGTAGACACGAAATGAGTTCGTAGACACGAAATGAGTTTGTAGACACGAAATGAGTTCGTAGACACGAAATGAGTTTGTAGACACGAAACGAGTTGTAGACACGAAATGAGTTTGTACACACGAAACGAGTCCGTGGACACGAAATGAGTCCGTGGACACGAAATGAGTCCGTGGACACGAAATGAGTTTGCAGACACAAAATGCTTCGTAGAATAATAACCTCTTAATAATAATATCCTAATATTATATTATAATAATAATAATAATAATAGTAGTATCCTAATAACAATATTTGCTTTCACGCTGCACAATACTATTATGCCACCGAGCAACTCTATTTTATGGCAGGAAAACCATGGGGCAAAATTTAGTTTATTAAATTTATGACTAAAATGAGGTAGAAAATGTGTAAAAATTTTGTTGATTCGTTGCAGACGAAGCTGCTAGCGGCGTATCTGCACGAGGTCGGGCAGCTCTGAGCCGTAGTCCTGACCACCACGTCTTTCTGCCCCGTTGCCTCGCACGTCCAGCAGTCTCTTCGTCGTAGGGACATTGCTGCATAAATCAAATGCGTCTTGTCCCTTCGTCCATTTCTTGTCCGAGCTGGTTCCTGCCCCGTTGCCTCGCATTTCCCGCAGTCTCTTCGTCGTAGCGACATTGCTGCATAAATCAAATGCGTCTTGTCCCTTCGTCCATTTCTTGTCCTAGCTGGTAGCCTGATATTCGATCGCACTTTCTACGCGAGTCAAAACTTGAAACCTAGTACCTGGTTGTTCCTTGTGGTTGGTTTGTGCATCGTTTATATGAATCGTGTTGAATAGAGGAATAAACAATTTTTATGTGAGTGGAAACAATGACCTTGCTATCTAGGTTTATCGCAAGATCTTTTATGTTTTTCTATTATTGGGATCGATATGAGCGATTGAGTAAAACTTTTTCTAGCTTATTGGTACAAGGTTAGACTTGAACACTGAACAGCCGTTATCCTTAGCTACAGCTGTCACGTGTCGAAACGAATCAAATCATATGTTGCCTTTTATTACTACATGAATTATTATCACCTTTTAACTATTATGTGCATGTTTTAGTTTTGAGATGTAGACTGGCATCGACTGGTAAAGGAACATAATTGCTGTGTTTTACTTTCATTGAGAGTTTAAGTCGCTTCATGATTGTCAGATTTACTTCAAAGCGGTCACTTGTGCTGCCCATCTTGCTGTATTGAAGGATTCAGTGCATTCTAGCGATACTAAAGGAGAGACGTGGCTGTGTACGCTTCATGTGGCCTCGATTAATGTACTGTTTTATACTCGTATTTTTCTTCACTATATATTGCATGTTGGTTTTATATTACTTGTTTAAAAAAATATGAGTTTTTATTTCCTTTCCAGTTTAGCTGGTTATAAAATAGACGTACATTTAATGACAACTTCCTTGTGAATGAACACGTCAGCTGAAAGGAAACGATCGTGTTCTGCAATCAATAATTGGATCGATCTAAGTCCACCATCAGAAATGATTAACACCGTCCAGAATAGGTCAATATGGTGAGCAATAAATGCCTCCGCTCATGTACGCTTGCCGCCGTTCTTCGATAACCCCATCTATATAAATCCCGATGCAACGGTCAAAACTGTCAGCAAATGACAGCTTGTAATAATTGATTATTCGATCCCTGTCTCTGAACTCTGTGCTACTATCGATACCTTCGTGCAAACGCCTAACATATAAGCATTCAATCCTTCAACCAGTGGTTAAAGTTGGCGCATAGAGGCGCGGGTTCGATCCCAGCTCTGTGCGCCAGTTTCTGGTCAGAATCGGCAAGGAGGCCGGGCGGTTAAGCACAGCAGAATTTGAAGAGTGAGTTGGACACAGGAGAGTGAGTTGGAGTTCGAGACCACATCAAGCTGTGGAAGTTCTGCGATGTTAAGAATCTACGACAGGCCTACAGCTTGATAAACGCTGAAACCGCTATTATATTATTTTTATTATTGTCTCTCCAGTACCATCGTCAGAATGGTGACGCAATTGGAACAAAGATTCCAACAGCGTAAAAAAAGTTTCTAAGAATAAAGTCGCTTAGTGTATGGTGTTGCTAAGAAAACTTTTTGGCTGTTAATTATACAAGCACGCTGTTATTTTGACTATTTTTCATTTAGGAACGATACGTGCACTCTCAAAATTACAAGGATTAAATTTGAACCTGGGTTTTGGACACACTTTCAAAATGACGCCACGCAATATTTTTACATGCACTGTTTACACGCCATATCTAGAAAGAAGAATATAGAAGATATCTTAGTAGAATTACTCTGACGCTGTCATTGCCGAGGCAGCCATGATCTCTACGCATAGCAATCTTCATACTAACGCAGATCCTCGCAACGGCTTTAGGCTTCAAACTGTGGTGCTGCTCGTCTCTGTGGCGAGGTGAGGACTGCTGTGCATTCGTTGGCTGTGGCAGCTCTAATGGACAAGTGACTGCTACAGTGCATTTGTCAGCTGTGGCGTTGCGGTGAGGTAGCGACTGCCATGCGTTAGTTGGTTGTGGCTATGGCGTCAAAACCGCCATTCATCAGACTACAATGCGAGAGCCGTTACTGTAGGTTTAGGCCAAGACTCCAGCGAAAAGAGCTGCCCGCCTAATACGCAATCGTCTGATCATGAACGTTTTTAGTTATTATAACTTTCGTCATCTGAACGTTTACAATGGACTAAACATTACGTTCCAGCAAACTCGCGATGCAGCGTCAATCCAGAGACAACAAGCTCAGCTGCTCAGCAACGATCGTTAACAGCTGCGTGCTGTAAGACACGTAGGATGGGTCATCTCACTGACATGTGGAACAGCCTCCCTGATAGCATCGTTGATGCTCCGAGTATGAACGCCTTCAATTAAGAACAGACTAGACGAAGGTGTGCAGGAGCATATGTTCAGTCTTAAAATGCCTAGCAAATTACGGACCAGGCAATAAGTCCAGACGAAGCTATGCAGGAGCATATGTTCAGTCTTAAAATGCCTAGCAAATTACGGACCAGGCAATGAGTCCAGCAGCTATCTCAATCAACCGTCAGTTATGGAAAGATCGGGTTCCAAAGGCCGGATCCCTTGTGAATAAAGTCACGAAAAGTACAAGAATCGGCAACATGCCATGGGCCTATCTATTTCTTCGGTGCCGACACTTCTATTCTATTCTATCTCTCAAGGAGTGCTAAAAAGTCGTTAGTAAATAGTACTCTTCCGATATTAAGCCATGATGCCTTCTATGTTTTTTTTTTTTGTGAGATAAGAACGCAAGAAAAAAATAAGAAGACAGAGCAATTAAAGTGCCTTCCAGTTTTCCATCCGCCACGCGGGTGGTGTACAGAGTATGCATGCCAGTAGGCGGTTTTTACCTGACGCCAGCAGTCCATCAGTTTAGCTCAGGGTCTTTGTCTAGGCTGTGAAGAAGATAGCTGAGATAGGCTTACGAGGGACTTACGTGGAGTTACTTAACCGAAAAAAATCTTCTAACGGGCAAGTTTAAACAGTGAAACGTGTTTCTTATTATGTGTTTAATATTAATGAATCCTGTTATATTTTTGGCTGAAAAAGTGTATCGGTTATTTATTAGAAAAACTCCTTTGCCTGGTACTATAAATGGCTCACGAACTATGTAAAATCAATAGAAATGGCAATTTATTCAGTTGAGCCTACATTTCATCCGGTATATTTTATTATATAACATTGTTCTTATGTTCAAGAAACGAAGGTTAATAACATTCGACTAAATGGAAAAGTAAAAGGACCGCACAATCAATTTGCGCCCATATTCCAGGTTAAAAAATACCATGTTACTGCATTGTAAGACCAGTTGTGTAGAAAGAAATTACTTAACTAAGCGCCAAATTATCTCTCGAAATAGAAACAAAAAATTCCTCACAAAATATGAGTTTGAAAGAACTCATTGAACTGGACTCCAAGCGACCGCCGTCGACTCTTGTTTTCCATTCCTTGAGATCGGTGACTGAGATTTGAGAAAACAGAAAGAAAAAGACTGAAAAAGCAATTTTAGGCCTAGTGTGTCATTCTTTGAACCACGATATAGATCATTGTCACATCAAGTGTGTGTAACAAACGGGAAATAGCAGAAATTGACAACAATAGATTTTGCCAGTAAGAAAATGTGCTTTAAAAATAGTGAAAGCGAACTCGGTTGAAAAGTGCGATATTAAAATATTGTGATGTATTTCAAATGTGAGCAAATGAATGTAGTAATCCATCAACCAAATGATTTATATTTAATCTAGAACACTCGAGCGTTTTCAAGGTTACTATGAAATTTTCCCTGCTACGCACCTCCAATTAAAAATTATGGCCCATTTCAAGCAGTTACAACTAATTTCCGACGCTGAATCAAATTATTGTGGGATCGAGCTATCCTCCAACATGGAAATCACGAGGAATCGATAGCGGATGCATAAAAATCTCGTCATAACGATGATAACAGAATATCGTGATGACAGGATGTCGTGATGAAAATGCCATGATAACAGGATGCCGTGATAACGCTGCAGGATATTTTCCTGAATCTGTTCTAGATTCTGGTGAAAAATTCATCGTTGACAATATGAATTTAAATCTAACAAACATCCGGCAACAAGTCTCTAATCATACCTAATACCTAAAATGTACTTTTTACTAATACTAATAAATTTACTAATACTAATAAATATACTTTTTACTTTTTACTAATACCTAAAATGTACTTAATGAAAATTCAAACATTAAAGCAAATTGAGCCTCAGAATTACCGTGATCTGAAAGGAAATAGGAAGAAATACGTGGTCAATGAGTCTCTGGAGGAGTCCGATTATACGTATGTTCTCAAGCTTTATCCAGTGCTTGACATCTGAAAAAATACAATATCGAAATCGGGGGGAATTTTGCGTAAAAAATTCAATTATGCATTACAATTATCAGCGCGAAAGTAGAAAAAAGGGTTCCTATTCAGCACGGCGCTGATCTTAGATAAAAAATAATTCATTGGTCAAAAAATATTTACAAACAGGGTACTTAACAGATACCCTGGATCAACACATCGTTGGATCAGACCACAAGATCATTGCATTCTCATTTTTTCGTGTATTGGCATGCAACATAATCATAAAAATGCTGTTCCATTTCAGACTTTTCGCGATATGGGCCGAATAACATTAATTAATGTTATAGCATTGCAGCTACAAGGCTTCTCTTGATTAACCGATTGAATGACCTTAAAAATGTTAGTGCCTTTAATAAAAAAAGTGTATTTGGAAAAATTAATGTGTTTCCAAACAAATTCTGTTTTTAAATGAGTATATGTTCACATTCACTTACATATATAACGAAAAAAAATTATAACCATATAAATACGATTATTTATCACAAATATACATTGCATAATGTAGAACAATAAATAATATTCATAAAATCAAAGTATCTGGACATCAGGGCAGCTAAAACATTTTGTACACGAGAAAGTTTCCAATAAAACGAACGGGAATGCAGGAAGCTGTGCTATTGCGAGGAAACATTCCGAGTGACTAATCAAAAATTAAA